CTTTCTGGGGGCTAAGCAAATGCTTATCTCCCCAAGTGCGGCCTTCACCAACCCATTCCATCACAGTCTACTAGTATTCCTAAATGTATCTCACTTACACTGCCCCCAACCTGGTCTCCCCAATCCTGTATTAATCCATTTTTCCTACCAGATGCAGGATCTCACACTTATCACTACTGCTGGATATGACTCAGTGTTCAGACCTCTCAAGGGAGTCTTCTTTTGCCTGTAAAGAGTTACCAAACTTTCTAACTGGGTGTCATCTACAAAGCTGATAAACATATCTTTCATTCATTCTTCAAGGTCATTTAAGAATTCAGTTTTAAAATGGCAGGTTATACATCTCCCAAGTAAAAAAGGGGGAAGTGGGAACAGGAAACGGGCAATGTATTACTGAATGGATGTTTAAAAGCCTCTTAACCTACTCTGTTCCATGCACATACACAGGACCTATTATGTATTCTTATGGCTAAACCTCTGGTATGCAAATCCAAAGGAGGCAACCACAACAACAACAACAAAACACCCAAATTAAGGCTACCTACTATTTTACTTTCATAGAAGTTCCTGCAGTCCAGCAAAATTGTATCCACCTGCGCATCATGACCCTGAGAAAGGTATTTTTCTACTTCTGCATGAAACTCCTTTGGAGCCAAACGGATTCCTACCAAGAATTAAAAGACATTAAGAGGATAAGTCACTGCAGTGAGCCAAGTTTGCATATTTAACACACACGTCCTCAGCAAATCCCACTTTATTCCAGACAGCTATTTCTGAATAACTGTATAGAAGACTTCAAGCATGAGTTTAATCCTGTTCTGTTTTTGTTCCTTGGGCTTACTGCCTTCCATTTGATTCCTGTAAAGCACAACAGGCTTAGGTTCAAAAGTGATGAGTTCAGATTTCTAGCAAAAGTGTTCTGACTTCTCCATGGCAGCTCATTGGCTGGGAGGAAAGAAGATGAGGAAGAAAAAGGGTCAGGGAAGAAGAGAGAGAAAATACAGTGGCTACACCCACTTTCATGCTTTGATTCACCCACCACCAGCACTTTTCCCCAAGAAATTACTCTGGAAGAATTCAGCCCTTGACAAAAAAAAGATTGATCACCTATGACCAGTTCCATACCAGTTTCTTTATAAGAGACTTTTTCTGGGTGAATTCCCATAGGTACTATTTCTTCAAACACACCAATTCGAAGATCTGGGAAACAGTGGGCTCCTCCAGCACTGGTCTGAGGAATCAAGGGAAGAAAACAAAGAAGCAGCAGCTTGCAAGAAATCTTAGTTGCCATGTTGGTAGACAGTCAACAATCTTCCCTGCCCCACCCCTCCCCTCCCCTCTCATCTGTCCCAATCCCATGGGAGTCAAAGGTGAGAAACCAGTGATTATGAAGTGCACCTCCAGCTTAATTTAGTCAAAAAGATTTAGAAGCAACCCTCTTGAATAAAGTCTGACAAGTTCTGATCTTCTAAACAATTTATTCAGCCTGTTTGAGAGTGAACACATGTACAGGAGCTTTCCTGAAGGGCACAATTACCTTACAGATAGAGAACATGCTGTCCACAGACCTAGCACTGTCTACTAGGCTGGCTTGTCAAGTAACACTTGGCATTTGCCACATGTGTGGCAATTTCACTGGGTCTTTCAAAATGTTTCTCAGGTACTCTCAGTTGCATTGAAAACCTCTTAATTGATCTAACTTAAGGTGAAGAAGGTTCAGTCTTCAGAATATTCCCCTGGTTGCTCTTGCAAAGATTTGAGCCTACTTCTGTCCTCGTTGGAGATGAGTCTCATGTAATTTGAGATGGGTGGCCATATAAATCTTTTAAATAAATAAATATTGTCTGATCATTTTATTGTTTTATTGTTGTTTTATAGTTACTGCTTTTACTGTTGTTGTGAGCCACCCAGAGTTGTTTAAGATGGGCGGCCATATAAATTGTTTAAATAAATAAATAAACAAACTTGTCACCGGCAGAAAAAACTAAGCTTGCGTGCATCCCAGATGGAATGACCTGAGCACAGCTTGGTTGGCTCCTCCTCTTTGCCTAAGTAGGGTGAGGAGTCCAGCAGGAGCCACACTTGAGAACAATCCAATAGAGCACCTGCAAGCAGAGCTAAATTTTGGGTCCATGTTTCTTTCACAGCCCATCTTACGCCATGCAGGATAAGGTGGAAATATTCCTTGGTTCTTCCTTCATGAAGGACAGTTCTCCATCCAGGATAAGGAAGAGGGAGATTATTGCCTTCCTCCTTTTCCTGTCTGCAGAGAAACATCATACAAGAGTAAATAAGTCATATGTGGAGCCAGAGGCCTTTCTCCATTGCTCCATACATCCACTTCCATGGTAAGAACAGATGTGGTCAGAGAGCAGTAGTTCCCTTCCCCTTGACATCAGCATGTTAGGATATAAAGAAATACATCCAGCCCTTGGACTTGATTTAGTTCCCAACTCATAATCTACATAAACAGCACATCAACTAAGAAACACTTTTTCTGGGTCACCAATCACCCAGATTGGGTGGTAGAGGACTCATAAAATTATTCAAGAAAGCAGGCAGTGTTTCTCTTGTCATCTCTTGGAATCCTATAGGACCTGTGAGAATTGTATGACCGTATGGCAAAAGAATTTTGCAAAGCAAGAGTTCTGGGGAAGAAGGTCTTTAAGAAAATGCTCACTATAGGATTGTAGTGCAGTCAGATTGCTGTCTGTGTCTCTCACCTTGAAATCTTCCTTTGTCAAAGTGCCTTTAAAGAGGGGGTAAGATAGCATTGCTTCCATATATAGGTTAGTAGATGCCCTGTTCCCACCAACAGTTCCATTAATTCCTTCTGAAGCAATTCGCACCTGGAAGCCAAGCAGGAAGAGTCATTATAAGATATGCAACCAAGGCCTATCTGGGTATATTCAGAAGGGACCCTAACAGAATTCAGTAGGATTTACCCCCAAGAAAGTATGCATAAAACGTCAACCATGCACAACCTACAATTGGTTATTGTTCAGCTGCATCTAAATTTAATCCAAACAAAATGCAACAGCAAAAAAGGAGAGGCATAACACATTCCTAAGAATTGTCTTGGGATCGGCTAATGCAAGTTGCTCTATGTGCTGGAGATACTGACTGCTATTGGCTTCTGATTGGCTTCATTTGTAGGAAACATTAAAAAAAACAGCCAAGAGCTCTCTTCCCATCCATTGTGATATGTTCTGTTCTGGGTCAGCAAAGTAACACCCAGGAGCCAGGGCACACCTTAAGGTGCCCAAGAAGCATCTCTGCTTCACACTTAAAATGAAACAATGTTTTTAAAGTTGCAAAAATCCTGCAAGATCTTGCATGAGACTTCTGCACCCCCTTGAGATTTTGATTATTTATTTGTTAATTTATTTAGACAGTCCAAGGCCAGAAAAGATTGTCAACGCATTTTCTATATAATGTCTGAAAGTGAATGAGAGATGGGTCAGCATCTTGTTCTTCCAAAGTTGCTGATAGGGATGATTCTAGCCAGGTATTTCAGAGTAATTCCCAGCCTGCCTATCATGATGATGATGATGATGACGACGATGATTTGCTGGAGCCATACCTGGTTTTCACCAGATAATGGTGTTCAATATAATTAACATTGTTAATAATATATAACTAATTAGAAAGAATAGAACCAAATTAACTAAAATCTCAATTAAAACTCAGATGATAGAATAGTTACTTCAAAAAGGGGATAGTGTTGAATCGCTTACCTTGCCAGTTAGATGCAGATGCTGACATAAAGCCTTCTGCCACATACAAAGTCCCACAGGATCTGTCACCTCGCAGTAGCAATAGTATAGCAAAACTTCCCCAACTTCACTGCAAAGAGGGTTGGGGAGAGAGTTTGTGTCAAAAGTCTGTATTTGTATGACTAAATGTACAAGACCTTAATAGCTTGGTGCTAGTTTCTTGCCTTGTGTCTGCTTTTGATTTTGTGTCTGGCATCTTGATTTTTGCAATGAAAAAAGCCATGTCAGAAGCATTGATTTTTTTTTAAACTTTGCTTGGATATCATTTTGTTCTGCAAAACTGTATTTGTGTGTGCACACACACCCTCCTTTGAACCATTCTGCCTCTATTCCTCATACCTGCTTCCAGATTTTGCAGCAAGCCATAAACAAGTTGATACACATTAATTACAAACATCATGGTTACAGACCCAGAGGACTAGGAGAAAAAAAGGGCATAGTCACTCACATATGAAGAAATAGGGTAAAGAATCAGTGAGAATGATGGATTAAGGTGGCATCACCTCCTAAGTTTTAAAAAAGAGAAGAAAACTGTGCACTTCACCTAGGTCAAACCATCTTGTTGGTTCCTGTTTTCCCAGAGCCCCTCCTCCATCTGACCCTGTCTCTGAGAGACTGATAAAGACCTTGCAATGGATGATGAAACTGTTTGAGTACACCGGGAAGACCTGAAGAGCCCATTCCCCCTGCCCTGCTTCCACCCCCCCTCCATTTCTCCTTCCCTTAAATGAGGAACTTTAGATGCTCAACTCTGTAATTACTTACCAAATGTTAGATGTTAGAAACCACTTATGAAATTAAATAAAAAAAACCATCTCTAACCCTTTATAGTCATCCATTATGCTTAAAGTAAAGAAGTAGCTTCCTTAAGGAACATGAAAGGGTGTAAATGGGATGTGTAACAAGCCTGGCCATGCCAGATAAACTGGAGGGCAAGGCTGTTTGAGTAGGAGATAATCCAGAAGGGTAAAAGACTATCAGTCCCTTGATGGCAGCAATAAATCCCAAGAACATGAAACTGATGCTCCTCAGTCAGTGGACAGAAGATCATCAGTCTCTCGGTGATCAGCAGTTTCCTAGATGACAGATGACTGACAATCACCAGCAGAGCAGGAGACCATCAGTCATTAGGAAGCGGGCTGAGTGAAGACAGAAGAAACTGAACAGAATCACCCTAGCTCAAGATAAGGATAATAATTTCTTACCTTTTCATTTCATTAGTATCGATGTGGCTTATATCTGGGAGCTTGTAGACCATCACCTGGTTTCTGTCTGGAGTTTTGTTGGGCCTAGATGTTTCATCCACGGAAGCAGGGCTATTTGTGATTCTGCTGCCTGTCATCTGCTTTAAGATCACAGATGTTTGCTGCCCAATGTCACCTGAATGCTGAGAAGCCACATGTCTGTGAATGCCAGTCAGATCTTTGAAAGTCTGTTGGCAGCATCTCCAGGAAATTGCCCTTTGGCAAGCATACATGTCCACTTCCACTTCCTTGGCTTTCACAAAGAGCGCAAATGCCTGCAAGGACAGCAGATGAGGCCAGAGGGGCCAGAAGTTTAAGAGCAAATATAAGAGCAGTCCCTGTGAGTCATCTGCAGTGAGGTCTCAGGCTCAAAACTTACAGGACAGCCAGCAGAATGCTGACTAAGCAAGCGTAGATAGATTGCAAGCTCCTCCTTTTGGAAGAGTTGCTTTAAAAATGCTTCCAGTTTTGAAGTTGTCTAACATAATTAGTGTCATATCTACTTATGGCATCACTAGCAAAAACAGATAAACACATTTGGTTGAAAAAAATATGAAGAACCCAATTTGCAATTGACTAAGCAAGCTGATTTCCTTCTATAACAGACAAGAGGCCTGCATTTATTGTAAACATAAAAGACAACCCATGAAATTATTGTTTATACATGGCATTCATCCAGTAGTACAACTCAAAGTAGTACAAGTCAAAATCTAGTGGCAAAACTTCTTTTTGGACTGGAATCAGAGGAAAAGGGGAAGTGGTTGAGTTGGTGATCATCTCTAATCAATCAATATCCCTCTACAGTTTACTTCTTTCAAATTGGACCACTCTGAAAGGTATAGAATGTGCTCTTCCTCCTGACTCCCCCAATGAAGACTTTTTTGCAGTCAACCCTTAATAATAAATTTGGATCATCTTTTCCAGATGTGAAGCACATCTTTCTGAGTAGGCACAATGAACTGATGGGATATATATTTCTTTCTAAGTTTAGTTTATGGTGTGTGTGTGGAGCCAGGAGGCAGAGCTACATTTGCCACAGCCTTACCAGCCTTAACCTTTTCAAACCTGGAAAAAAACAACACTGAACATTGCTCCAAGAAAGTAACTACTTATGCCCTGTGGTTTGGCAACTCTCTCACACACCAAATGAGAAGACTATAGAAAGGATGAAGCAGGATCCCAGGAAAAGAGCAAGCAGATGAAGCAGCAAAAGTGATAGGTAGAAAATCAAAGTGTGAACAGGTAGTAACTGGAGAAATCAGACAAAGATATAGAACCAGGGAAAAGTCTACAAGGGGAAGAAAAAGAGGGAGATGATGGAATGATGAGAGCCAGTTTGGTTTAGTGGTTAATGCACCAGGCTAGAAAGCAGGAGACCGTGAATTCTAGTCCTGCCTGAGACATGAAAGCTGGCTGGGTTACTTTAGGCCAATCACTCTCTTTCAGTCCAATGCACCTCACAGCGTTGCTGTTGTGGGGAAAATAGGAGGCGGGAGTATCAAGTATGTTTGTCGCCTTGAGCTGACCATACATATATATAAATAAAAAGGCAGGATAAAAATCTAATAATAATGTTTAAAAATAGGCAAAGAGGAGAAGTAAATGAAGGTCAGAAACTGCATGGTGAAGAGGATGGAAGTTCACATTATTCATTTGAAATACAGTAATCAGAAAAACATTTCACTACCATGTTACTGTGACACCAATTCTCTTTTGTAAGTTCTGGTCATGAACTTCTCTCCAAATAACTCTAATGTAACCAAGAAACAGAAACCTATGGTACCACCTGTTTCCAGTCCCTGGTTTCTTTTCACATCACAAACAGTAGTCTATAATCCTGGCCATAAAAGGAGGATTGTGGCGAAGAGCAGGGGACAGCACCTACCCTGCTTTCACCCACCAACTCCCCCTTGCAAACTCAGCCTTTTCCTGCTGCTTTGCAGTCAAGACAACCCTCAGCTTGCCAGATACATTCTGGATACTTAGTATTTACTAGTAACTGGCTTCAGACTGGTACAGCAGAGATTGGAATTTGTCTGAAATAATTCTGCACATCAGTCATAACTCTGAATTCAGAATGACCATTTATGAGTGGAGTACAAGTGGGATCAAGGAACTCAGAGCTGCTCAGTAATTTTTCCCTGGTAATAGACACTGATGAACAGTCAACAACAAACCAAGTACCTTCTTCTTTGCAGAGGCGTATTTCTTTTTGGCACTGCTGTCTACTTTGGTCCTGGGATGACTTTTGGGTGGGAAAGGAACATGATCTTTCAGCTCAAGGTCTGCAGAGGTTAAGATGCAAAGTTCCACTGCATCATCTCCATCAGGCAATGGCAAAGAGGAGATCATTTCTACGTCACAGCAGCTAGGCATAAGTTTTTTTCAACAGCCTAAGGAAGATTGTTCCAAAATAGGGATTTATTAACAGGCATGCAAGGAAAATAAAAAACAAAACAAGGAAACAATGGACCTGCATGAGCATTTCCACACCAATTCTTCAAATTAGTTAGAATCAGCTCCAGACCTGCCTGATTGCAGATCAGTAGAGTCCAGCTGTCTACACGTATTGCTAACTCTGCTGCAATGTAAGCTAAACCGGAGCAAATCTATTTTTCTCTGTTAAAGCACGATCCCCTGTGGAACTTCTGGGCACTCTTATTGCCCCATTGGTAAGAATTCTCACCTCCCCCCAACTTCAGTGTCCCACTGATAGGAACACTTGCCTCCCCCAGCCCTCTAGCTTTTTCTTTTGCTGTAATGTGGTTTCCTGCATTTCAGGTCAAAGGCTGGAAGGATTATTTCCTCAATGGAAGGATTGAGGAGCTGTGAGGTTAACTCTAGAAGCCACTCAATCACAATCAGTCTAAAAACATTCCTACTGTATTTATCTGAAAGAAGGATTAGATTGTTTCCTTAATAATTTATTTTCAAATCAAATCCTTTATTACAAGTCAAGAACCAAGACTAATAAGACTTACTAAAGTTTAATAAATTATTATTATAAGCTACAGAATACAGCTACAGAATAGAATGTACAAAATAACATAAGGTATACAAGATTTTAAAAAGTACAATCATATTTGCATAAGTTTATTTTAAAAATAGAATTGACATCTCAAATTTGCTGAGAATATGGCAGGTGACTTTTTCTTTTAACCTAAGCTGCTGCTGCTGCTGCTGCTGCTGCTGCTGTTGTTGTTATTATCATCATCATCATCATCATCATCATTTATTGGATTTCTCCCCCACCCATCTCCCCCACAATAGGGGACTCTGGGTGATTTATGGATAATCATTCTAAAGTCAGGATCACTTTCATTTCAGGTAAATATAGTCTTCCTTTACAGGTAGAAGCTGAAAGTAGTATATGGTACTTTCCAAAATTAAAAGGCAGAAAATCTGCAGAAGCCTCAGTGCAACCTGAAATTAGACTCAACTGGTAGATTAAAATATGCTTTGATTTCTCTAATTAGCAGTTGCCATTTTTCTGAATGTCCTTGAATGCTGTGCTATACCCTCCATTTGAAATACTCGTGTCAGTCACAATGTCACTAAGGAAGATTTTTTTTAAGACACAGCTGGTCAAAATCAATCTGTCTTCTGAAAACATAGGACTTATTTTTAAATCTTATCCACCTGTACTATCAGGATGGTGCTGATGATGTTACTGGTCTGCTTCACAGGACTGATGGAGAATTAATATTATTATGGTAATAATTATTTAATTTCAGAAACAAGACCATATGCTGTTTTCCCTGCTATGATAATCTGTATTTTCCTTCATCTAACAGCTTATGCAGTCAACTTACTCAGCTGGAGAAATGCAATTTCTGAGGGTAGACATCTGAAGAATGTTGCCAGTCACTGGTCTGATTTGCACAATTTGCTGAGCCATGCTGTAGTTGGCTGAATTTGAGTTTACACAACAACAACAAAAAAATTGCTCTTAATATGATGTGCAGTCTCAGCCATCCACTCAGAACTTTGGTTCACCTACTCACTCTAACACGGCCAGTCGATGTTTTGCATGACATCCTGAACCAATTCTATTTTACCCTGCCATGTTGTATAAGCCCAGCCTGTGAGGAGGAAAATGAATGCCAATTCTGAATGTTAGACCAGAGGTTTTCTCATTGTATTTGAAGATACTGGGGAATGCACTTAGGACTGGCTGCATGTAAACCAGAGCAAGTAACACTTGCACTTTTCATTACAGCTCTCGGCTCCGAAATCTTCTGGATCTATGAAACGGCTGGCAAAAGAACATCTTTAGCTTTTTAATCAAGTTCTTTAGTTTCCCTCAGCACCTGTTTTGGCCACAAAATACTATAGTAGCCAAGAAGTTCATTTGTAGAATTGGAATTACTGTATAAACAGCTAAGAGTGCAAGAACTAAGAATCAAGAAGTCCCAATTCAATTTTCATTGGAAACATAGACTCATTGGGTGACTCAACCAAGCTCTTTTCTATAACACGGAAATAAAATGTGTGTGTGGCCATAATGATGACTTCATTTTATGGTTATTATAATAGTAAGATCATTTTATTAAATGCCTTGAGTTTATTTATTAGATTTGCACAGCCACCCATCTCACATATGTGAATTGTTATCCCATGATCATTACCACAGAATTGCCAGCATTGTAGGAGGAGAGCCACGTTACTGTAGTTTATAGTAGCAAAAATAAGCCTGGGACCTCCTTTTCCGACTACTGTGCCCAGTTTCATTAACAGGTACAAGCTTTTGTGAGCTGTAGCTCGCTTCATCAGGCGCAACTGATGAGAAGGGGCTACCAGGCTCCCTTTCTGTTTCAGTATTTCTCAATCTCAACCATTCTAAGATGTGTGGACTTCAACTCCCAGAATTCCCCAACTAGCATGCTGATTGGGGAATTTTGGGAGTTGAAGTTGCTGAGATTGAGAAACACCGTATTGAAGAAATCCCTCTCAGGGGACACGTGCCCATAACTTTTGCCTGTTGGCGCACAACAAAGTTAACCGCAAGGGCTCATATTCCAAATTAAATTCGTACCTAATGAAACCCTGATTTAGAGGGAAAAACAAAGGGGGGGGGAACAAGTTTTGGACTCCTTCCCAACTGCAACCCATTTACTTTTGTCCCATTCTTAACAGGAGCCATTAAGAGCCAAATCAAGGCAACTGCCTTCCGAATTGTGCCTCTTCCGTCTCGCGGCTTCCTTGGCCTGCAACCGCGCTAGATTTCTGCCGCTGCTGCTTCTTCGTGCTCTCCTCCAATTGCCCCTTTTTACCTCGACGCGCGCCCTCGGTGCGCAGGACCTCCCTGGCCCGCTCAGCCGCTCCTTCCTCTCCCCCTTGGCCGACGGCTGAACTAGCTGGCGCTCTCTTTCGAGCGAGAGCATGGCTGGCGGCTGGCTCCCTTAAGCCTTTACTCCGCCTCCTGGAAACGCTGCACTTGAGGGACTGCTTGCAATTCTCAGCCTTTTTAGACCGGGACCGCAAGAGAGCAGAAACGGCCTGGGCGTCGCAAGCATGAGGGCACTTGTGATGCTGGGAGTGAAAGCCAATAATAACGATAATCTCGGCATTTGTCAACCGGGCTAACTTGACCAGAAGAACACAGAGGAAGATACATTTTTGCAGCCCATTGAAACCGTGTTTTTCTTTAACTACAGCAGTGCTTTCCACACGTTAATAGGCGAAGCCTTCCTTTTTGTTTTCCCCTGAAACTAGAGTTACGCTGCCTTCTTCTTACATCCAAAGAATTTTGCTTGAGGGTGTGTAAGAATTTAAAAACAGTCCACTCTTAGGAGACCCCCCCTTTGTGTCTCTGCCTGAGTGACTGTTCTGGAGTAGTATTTGGGGCTGTCCCAAAGAAGTATTTGATACAGCATTGTAACAAATGGGTCCCCTCTCAAGCATAGCTAGTACTGAGATATTAGAGAGCTATAATATCTTATCATGTAAGAATTTTAATTTTTCAAGTTTTGTAGAGATTAGTAGACAATTTTCTGACTGATACAGAAATACTAGTCACGCTTATTCTTGGACTGGGAGGCCCTGCTCATGCTCACTCAGTCACCCCCCAACTGGACTATGTGGGGCTGCCCCTGAAGACCATCTGGAAGCTTCTGCGAGAAGGAAATCAAATCTCCCCCCCCCCCCCCCGCCACAGGAAGTCAAAGCTTCCCATTTGTCTCACCCTACCATTGTTTATCTAAACAGCAATCAGGACATATGATTAAATTATAGTAAGAATGGGCTCACCTAAAAAAGATTAAAACGTAGCAGGAAGAATCAAGAGTCCCCCAGCCCAGCCCAAAATTAAATAACTAAAAACCTAGCAGGAAGGGCCAACATTCCTTGAAGCTGTAATTGAATCATAAAAAGATTTCTTCCCTGAAGAGATCTACATTCCAATTAGACAATACCAAGATAAGACAAACACAAGGAGCCCCAGCTCAGCAGGGTGCCTGACCTTAGAAGGCTCCCTAGGCCAGTGTTGTCCAAACTTGGCCACTTTAAG